TAGAGGTCATCAAACCCGCATGTCCCTCTTGCAAAGCCAGCTTTGAGAGAAGCTCTGAGAAGAGTCCAACTGGTCCCTACTCAATCCACATGGTGTTCTCCAAAGATCATACTAGTGGGACAAGGAAAGCTGGAGAGCACCATGTTGTGCACATCAAGGACATGCATGTGCAGCACACATAAAGAGGGGGCAGGGATTGCCCGTGTGGTCGCAACCACCATCTTGACCTTTTTGACATACATATGCACCAACCCCCTGCAGATACCCCTTTTGAGAGCCCTCAATGCAACTGATTAAGAAGGGGAGAAACTTGCTGAAAGTCTTCCATCAGTCTTTAATCTAAATTTAGAAGAAATGCAGCCTTACTTGGATTAAGTACTCTTTAAGACAGCAAATACTGGATTTGAACTACAAAATGGTTCAGGTCTCATATTTTGCCTTCATCTCACTATAGCAAGGTTCCTCAACCTGCTGACTTCTGATCTGATGGAAGTTGTAGTCCATCAGTATGTTAGCAACGTAACTGGGGGCATTAAGTTGGAGAAGACAACGCTGGAGTGCTGCCAAAACTTCCATCTTCCTCGGAGTTTGGTCCTTCTCACAGAAAATTCTCCCCAAGACTAGCCGGTGCAAACAGGCATGGGCTTACCCCACCCAGGAAGATAATTGGTGTGAATTGCTCTGCCCTGAACAGGATGGGTTAATTTGACCTATTAAAGCAGTTTAGTGGATTACGTCCTGCTGTTTCTGGTGGATTTATCTTTAATCCACCAGAATCTTTAATCACTGAGATTTTGTTTCTGGAGATAATATATTCTGCAAAGGGGAAAATATGGGGAAAGCCCACTCATAAAAGAACTTTTGACGTTTATAGAATCAGTTGCTGATACACAGAGCATTAAGGAAATTGAAACAATGCCATGCATTTCTTAACTATCAGTTGAAAGAAAGAGCAGAGCAAATTTTTGTGAGAATTGGATTCATCTTAAAGCAAAGCGGGAGTAAGTACAAAGATTTTGAAACAAGTGTGACATATTGTAAAGACACTGCAAAAAAAGCCAGAAAACTCACAATCTCAACCGCCCATCACTTACTCACTTACTGTCTCCCTGGATTAACCATCAGCAAATGTGGATCCTCAGGGAAGAAAAGCGATCTATCTATGGAAGGCTACTGAAGCCACGTTGTCTAAAAACATGTTGGGACACCCTGTGTGAAATCAAAGCTTCACCATACTGACTGTTTGGTAAAGCAGGCTCAGCTCTCTTGAATAGTTTGCCCGGGTAGCCCCAATTTCAATAGAGGTCACAGGACTTTGAAAAATAGCACACAATTCAATGGAGGTGGATCCTCCATAGGGAGAACATCAGCCCCTTTGTGACTTGCATATAAAGTGGAAGCCAGTCATGAGTGTAAGCTGTTAAGCTTGGCTGTAATTATTTTCTTTTAGATAGATGTGAGCCATTTAGAGACAGGATTCAGTTAAAAGTTGATTTGTCTTGATCTCAAAGTTGTATTGCTTCATAGTTCCTGTTTTTTTTCAGATCTTGTAACTGATGTAGAGGTTCTTTCCTCATCTGTTAACCATTTCTGCCAATTCTGACATTTTCACAATCCATTCCTCCATTGTGGGAATTTCAGTGCTCTCCCATCCTTGTATGTAATCTTGCTGTGGCCTTTCAATCTTGCCAGTTTCTTGTAAGCCACAATAGGCCAGAGGTCTCAACCGTTGTGATACTGTCACCCCTTCCAGATGGTGAGATGAATCTGCGGGGCATCCCCCATAAACAAAACAAAGGATTTCTAGGGATCAGAGTTGGACAAGAAGTAAATGCCACACTTTTAATAATTAAAAGGTAACCTATATATCAAATAAAAAATAGAACCTTACCATTTTTAAAAAATAAGACCAATTGGTGGAAATATACCTTCCCCACGTTGCAACCATATTTTTAAAATAAATTAATACAGTGGGGCAAAAAAGTATTTAGTCAGCCACCAATTGTGCAAGTTCTCCCACT